ACAAATGTGTATAACTACTATTCAGGAAAATCTATGGTCCAAACTAACGATTTTATCGTTCCATTTCGTTACTCGTAATCTATTATAATAAATATATTTATTATCGTTAAAATAAATCTATTTTGTTGTGTTTATACACGTTGAACGTAATTTCTTTTTTTTTTCGTTAACGCATAATTAATCCTGCCCTCTTCGTTACTTTCAAATCAACGAATAGTTAAACGAATTCAGGTATACGCTTTCATAGTTAATCGTTGAATATTATATACACCGATGAAATATCAAAAGATTTACAAGCAAACGTATAAACAACGAAAATGATACGATTGATGCTACAATAGAAAATGATCGAATTTACTGATCAATGGTTAATGAGCTCACTCGTGCGAACGATTTCTCTCTCTCCTACCAGTTTTACCAATAATTCGACGGGTTAGAAGGAACTACTTTCCAAGGGTAGGAAAGAGAGACCCTTTTTGCCGTTCGGTAAGCAAGTGTCCCTCGTAATGATGTTCCCGACGCGTGCCAGAGTCTCAGCATGGGGTACACATAGCCCATGGTTAAAACCCCCAAGATCTAAGTCCGTCCAACTCGACCATTTACCACTCGATGACCGAAGGAATAGAACACGAACGAAACGAAGAAGGGCAACGCCTCGTGCACTTATTATGCGTCAAATAAGTCTCCAACGTTTTCTTTCACCCTCTACCACGAAATTAATTGGCTAGGCATCATCATCCCTATCATCATGGGATTGTGGACAACTTATAAAGGGATAATACACGTTGCTTACACTTCCGCGTAAATTTTCACACGAAATTTACAAACATTCGAGTGATTTATTTGTCATTATTATTATTATTATTGAATTATTTATTTGACGTTTAATCAAATTAAACAAATGGAGAAATAAATGTAAAGAGTATTAGTATAAAATTTATACTAATACTCTTTATACTAATCATTTCTAGTCGCGTGACCGTAAAGAGAGAATTCACGATTCTCGCTATTTTATTCACGTAACACAAAAGTTCAACATTATAAATTCACGGCCGATTGCATGCGGAATGAATGATAACGCGATAAAACACAATAATGTATTTACATTCGACGTGTACATCTACAATCCATGTATTTATAAATCAAATACGTTTGAACGAGAACGTTTCGACGTGTAATATCGGATTACCAACGATAATCGGATTTCACAGGGCATCCATCGTTATTTCCGTCGTTGATGAAAACTCGAAAATATGATTTTCCATAGGTTACGCCAGACGACCTTTACTTTTTCCTCCAAACGATTCGAAAAAAAAGGATGGTCCCTATTTTTTTATTTTTGCCTTAATAAAAATCACAAGTCATAACTAAGAAATAGAGAAAGAAGAAGAAAAAGAAAAAACGAAAGAAAGACAAGAAAAGAAAAGAAAAAGAAAATAAGAAGATTAAAAAAAGAAAGGGAAGAAAAAGAAAAGGAAAAAGAAAAAGAAAAAGAAAGACTCGATATCTCATTATCGAACGATCGCAAACTAAACTCACCGTTGGAGAGTAAGTAACGAGATCTCCAATTATCTTCAGGGACAGTGTCTCGATCGTACTTATTTAGAAACATTACGGAAAAAGAAAGATGGGAAACAGAATGAAGAAGAAGAAGAAGAAGAAGAAGAAGAAGTTGATGAAGAAGAAGAAAACGAAGAAGAAATCGTACGCGAGACTCGAAGAAAACGCTCAAATAACGAAGAACAATATGAAGTGAAAAAGGAGGAGAGAGAGAAGGAGAGAGAGAGAAAGGGAAGGGAAAAGGTGTGGTGGTAGTAGTAATATTAGTATTTTAGTAGTAGTAGCAGTAGTAGTAGTAAAGATATTTCCGTGATTGAAATAAAAACTCGTTGGGGTTCGGTTAGGTGATTTTTCAAGGGTCCTCATGAGTCCAGTTGATATACCTGGAGTTATATATACGCGATTCACTCGAAGGCATCATCGTTGATGCGTAATATACATCACTGTACCTACTTACACAACCACCGTTGACGTTGGTTTGGGTAATATAACGTATAGTATTACTCGAAGACAGGTGGGAGTAGTCAGAGTCATCATCTTGGTGTTCATCAACGTATCGGTGGTGATCCATAGTAGTAACACACACTAGGATTTCCTGTTAGTACCGATTGCCCCCCTCATCCCTCCCCCTCCCCCTTCACCTCCTCCTTTCTCCTCATCCTCCTCTATACAAAAGCTTCTATCTTTCCTCTCTTTCTCACATCCCTTGCAAGCCGACGGCAGGCCGTCTCGCGTCTGCTTTCCCCTTTTACCCTCACCTCTCTCTCTCTCTCTCTCTTTATTCCCATTTCCATTCTCATCTTCTTGTTTTGGTCCAATAGTCAGTCGTCGGTCTGATCGATGATACGCCAACAGGCAGTACTGCGCATGGCCGACTAAATACAAACTCGCTCCTTATTATACACAGGGTGTGCCAATAAAGGGGGTGGCAAGAGTGAGAGAAAGTGAGAGAAAGAGAGAGAAAGAGAGAGAAAGAGAGAGAAAGAGAAAGATTGTGCGAGCGAGCGAGCGAGTAAGATACAGATAGAAAGAGAGAGAGAGAGAGAGAGAGAGAGAGAGATAGAAAGTATGAGAGGGGAGGTCTAGGAAACGAAGGAGAAGGTGGAGAAAAGGTAAAGCCGTTCTTCTCTCGTTCTCCTTCGAGTCGACGAACTTGCCGTCATAAAGGAAGCTCTTACTCGTTGACGTTGCAACTATCGTTACCATACCCCTCTCACCCTCCCTTCCAATCTCTTCATCTCTATCTTACACTCCTTCCTTTTCAACCCCCTTAACTCGTCTAAAATATTCTAGGACGTCAGAAGGATACACAATTTCCGATCAGGAAAGGTTTCCTAACTAACTAACTAACTTGAGAACTGTTCGATCAATTTTTATAAAAACGACAAAGTTTTATGGTGTACGCGGTATATTGTAGCCTTTGACAATAAAACAATTTATAAACATTCGATTGGATCGAAAATTTCTCGTTACATTTATGTATCATTTCTTTTCTTGCCCCCCTTTTCTTTTCTTTTTAATTATTTTAGGATAATATTTTCAATTTATTCTTTTTATAATAGCGACGTTATATGAACTTATTTTTAAATTTATATTTTTTATATATATTCTATACATTTAAAACCGGTCGGGTTAAGTTAAAATCGCTCGAAAATAGGTACAAGAGAGAGAGAGAGAGAGAGAGAAAGAGAGAAAGAGAGAGAGAGAGAGAAAGAGAAAAATAGGTCCGGTCCTATACGGTCCGCTCTCCGGTCCCTGTGTGAAAGCAAACGTTCGATGACGTTAACGTTAACGTTGATAAATCGGCAAAAAAGCGACGGCTTGTTCGAATCTAAGCGGAAGATAATTTCGGGGTGGCAGGGCAAATTGACAGGGCAACGCGTTTCCATTCATTCGAATTACGTTCCGATTCTGGCGGTGACTTTAGTATTGTTGCTACAAATTGGTACACGCCCTGACCCCCCACCCCACCCTCTCCCTCTCCTTGTCCTCCCCTCTAGCAATGGCTTCCTTTCTCTCTCTCTTTCCTCTCTCTCTCTCTCTCTCTCTCTCTCTCTCTATTTCTCTCTCTTTCTTTCTCTATCCTTCTACACGCACGATTTGTATACGTCGAGCTTTTTAAATAACATCCTCGGATTGCGTGGTTGTATACTCAAGAGACGAATGTTAGTGACGTTAACGTTCCTTTTCTAATCTTACTTTTAATTGATTCCGATAACTATCTATCTATCTATCTACCTATCTACCTATCTTAGTTTTTGTTTTATCCGTTTACCTATTTTTCGTTAATCAAGATTAAATAATAGGTTCATTTTATTTTTTTTTTTTCTTATTGTTAGCTAAGTACAATTATTATGAAAAATTATTCTCTCCCTGTTTAGTCATCTAATAAATTTGACATCTTTGGTAAGAAAAAAGAAAGATCTATTATACTACTTCATTACTTCTCGAAAAAATAAGAAAGAAAGAAAATGGTACAGGAAAAGTAAAGTAAAACTAGAAAGAAAGAAAGAAAGAAAGAAAGAGATTCGTGACATCGAAAAGAAAGAGAATTTTACGTGAGATACTACTTGTAGGAGAATCCTCGAGAAGCCGACGACTCGTACGATAATCGCACTTTATGTGGATTTAACGAGTGAGAATTCGGAGGAAAACAGTCTTGCGTTTCTCTCGTGAAAACGAGTCACACTATCCTCTCCTCTCTATCTATCCCTTTATCTCTCTAGTCTCGTTTCACGATTATTATCTACGTGGAATATTTACGCGCAATTAAGCAAATAACTCTTAAAAATTGGAGAAATGAAGATGAAGAAAATGAGAGAGAGAGAGAGAGAGAGAAAGAGAGAAAGAGAAAAAAGAGAGGGAAGAGAGCAAGAGAGAGAGAGAGAGCTTTTAACGATCAGTCGTATTTAATCGAGCTCGCCAGACGGACTTTAACTTGAAAAAGACTAAAGATGATCTCGTTAAAGATATATTACAATTTATCATTTATGATTAGACTCGAATAGATAATTACTTTAGATATTACATATATGTACGTATATATGTACGTGTAAACGTGTGGAAATGGAGCTCGTTAAAATCGACTACAGGAGAACATGCCACGTGTGTTCGCTGTAGGTGGTCGGATCATCCGGATCGTTAACAAGTAGCCTAACTGGATCAAAAGGATGAAAAAATAAGATCGTGGCTTGAGGCCTTTTAAAATATAATAGTTAACTGCTAAGAGGTATCTCTCCGTTTGTTACAATTGAATCAATGTTTTTATTACGAATTTGTATTTGTTAATACTTTAAACGATTAGATACTTTCAATGCTAACGAATATATTTATATATATTATAGTAATAATGATTAATTATTAACGTTTATAACTTTGATATATTTTTTCAATTATTTTGTATTGATGCTTAAACGGTATGTTTAAATTTTGTATTTCAGGTTTGGTTTCAAAATCGGAGAGCTAAATGGCGCAAAACTGAAAAATGCTGGGGTAGAAGTACCATAATGGCGGAATATGGTTTATACGGTGCGATGGTTCGACATTCTTTGCCACTTCCAGAGACTATTTTGAAGAGTGCTAAAGAAAACGAATCGGTAGCTCCATGGTTGCTTGGTGAGTACAGTATTTGATTTTTTTATTTTTAATTTAATATATATGAGACACCACGTACATACGCACATGCACACGGGGCACGAAAGAAAATAAAGAAAGTCAGTCCGTTATAAATAATTTCAATGGCTTGTTGATTTATAATAAAGAAACAGACGAATATGAAAAAAAAATAAGAAAGACGCAATAATCAAACAAAGCAAAAATGGAAAGGAAGTAATAATAATAAGGATTTAAAAAAAAAGAAAATAATTATTTGGATTGATCGATACGAGAAATTGACAAAAGAAAAAGAAAGAAACGTTCTTTTATAAGCAATTGGAGCAATCACGAAAAATGTCGAAATTTTTTTTTTCTGTCCGTTTCTATCAGCGCAATCGTCTAAGACAAGCGGCTTTAGTCAAGATTTCGAAAATAATCAAGAACTGATTGACTGTGGGCCCGTAGGGATGCACCGAAAGTCGATCGAAGCGGCGGAACACCTCAAATCTGGTGGCGAGGACAGCGGAAACGACCATAACGGGAGCGGAAGTAGCCCTCATCATAATCATCACCAGGGTGGACCTACCAGTTCCGAGAGTGGACAAGAAAGCCAAGATGGTATGGGGCCGTCTTCCTCGACAGGCAAGTAGTTTTATCTTCGGTTTTTTCTTTTTTATTTTTAACAATAAAAATACGGTTCTTATTTTTCAATATTTCAATCTACACTAATTTTTGCCTGATAGATTAACTGAATAAAAAAAAATAACCGTGGGAATTAAAAATCAATTCGAACTCTACATTTTTCTTTACAACAACGTCAACTTCAATCGCGTTTTTCAACGATTATAATTTTTCTTTTTGCAAATCTAACCACGCGAAATCTTTAAAGTATAATCAATTTACTAGGAAAAAGTATATATATATTTATACTTTATATTAAAAGTCGAATATTGTCTACGGGTTAAATTGATCCTGCGTGTATTTAATTATTTCCTACGTAGTTATACACGTTGAAAAATTTAAAGAACAGAGTTTACAATTACTTAATAATTTTTAAATTTAATTGTAAATCTTTTGAGGTTTTCTGTTTCTAGTTTATAAAAATAATTTGATCTTATTTCAATATTAAATCCTTGTTATTTTTGCATATTTGTTAATCCATTTGTATCTTTGTTATATTCGATTACATGTTATCGCGGTTAAAATTCTTTAACGATTGTCTCGACTATTAAAAAAATTAAAAAAAAAAAAAGGAAAAAAAAATAGTAATAAAAAAAACTCCCTTCGATAAAATATGGTATTCTGTTCGTTTTCTTTAGGAGTCGTACAGGACACAGAACAACTAAGGAACGAGAGCATCGCTTGCTTGAGGGCGAAAGCTCAGCAACATCAATTGCAACTGAGCTTGCAACCAACAGCAACTCCAACAGGCAGCTCTTATCAGACAGGATCGCAATCGAGCACACTCCATGCTACGGTTTAATCATTCTCGTCAAAGTTTTTCATCTCGGTTCTCGAAAAAGAAAAATGAAAGAAAGAAAAAAGGGTGAAGAAACATTGACGACGACATTAGTCCTGGACGATTCGACTAATCGTCGAATAAAAGAACAAAAAAATGGAAAAGGAAGAAGTAACAAGAAAATAACACTACTACATTTCCTCTCATTCTATAACGAACGTAAGGAAATGACAAAAAAGAAAATAAAATAAGACAGAATAATAAAAAAACGAAGTCAAATACGTTCGAAGAAGAAGATCGAGATCTCGTTATATGAATCGATCATTAAAATATATTTTCTAATTGATGTGAAGATATATTAATGATACTATATATATATGGACGAATAATACAAATGTGAAACCGGTGAAGAAGAAAAACTAAAAAAAAAAACTAATAAATCCAAAATTTTTGACTGCTGACTCGTGTGGACGATCAGGGTAAACAAACTGACATTTTAAATAAAAAATACAAAAGAAAAACGAAAGGTACAAGAGGAAAACAGGTAATACGTACAAGAGAGAAAGAAATAAAAGAAAAAAAGAAAAATATTAATTTACACGTGAGCAACGAATAAATCGAACAAAATATACATATATATATGTATACATTTCGATATCTAACACGAATGAGAAATATGACCTCATTTAGTAATATGTATATATGTAATCCGATCAACGAACATTTACTAAAAGAAAATGAACAATAAAAAAAAATAACACAGAAAAAAAGCAGATAATAAAATAAAATTGACGGTCTCTATAACATACGTATGAGCAACGAAAGGAGATAAGGGAAATACAGAAACTTCATCAACGAAAAATCAGTGGCCTATTAATGGCCATCTTTAAATCGATACTTTAACAAAACGAAATCAATATGAAGAAATAAAGTAATACCTAATTAAGAAAATAATAGTCGCTTTTAAATAGTGTGAGAGTGAAATAAAACGAGAAAGAGAAAGAAAAACAGAGAAAAAGAAGAAAGAAAAAAGATAGAGAGGAAAGTTGAAAAAGAAAAGAAAAGAACGAATGAACAATTAAACTAACAAATAAATAAATAAAATAATTAATTAAACAAATACACGAGAAACGAAGACTTTTCGCCTTTTAACAAAAAATAAAATAAAATAAAATAAAATAAAATAAAATAAAATAAAATAAAAGAAAAAAGACACATACTACGCAAAATGATTCGCAACGAAATGTTAAATAGGAACGACGTTAGGTACATCGAAATGAGTGAATGTGTGATTTGTATGAGAGAGTGAAAGAGAGAAAAATAAAGTGAGAGAGAGAGAGAGAGAGGAAAAAAGATTTTGAATTATTTCAAAAAAGAAAAGAAGAGAATGAGTGAAAGAAACGCACGTAAGAAAAAACGTTTATTAGCGAACACTTCCTATACCCAAGTACTTAAAGAAGACATAACTGTTGTCAAATGTGCAATATATCGATATAAGTTTTAGTTCTATAAGGTATATTATACTTTATTAATGGATACACACCTACGCGCGTGGTGGTAATAGGAGTAAACGACGATTAACGATATATATATGTATGTATATGTATGTGTGAAAGAAAGAGATTACGATGGTATGTGAAAGAATATGAAATCATGTTTGATGATTTACAAAAATTTCATTATTAATCGGATCTCTTAAAAAAGAAAAAGAAAAAGAAAAAGAAAATCATCATTATATATCGAAAACGTCATTACCTTTCTCCTTAATCCACTACTGTATATATAAATATATATATATAAATATAAAAAAGGTATATATATATACTATAAACATATATACATATATATATAAATACATAAATATATATATATGTATATATGAATATAAATATAAATACACACAAAAATAAATATATGTGGTTGAGAGGCAAGTATAGTAAAGTAAGATAAAGTAAAGTAAAGTTAAGTTAAGTAAGATAAGGTAAAGTAAAGTAAAATAAAAAAAATATATAATAAAATAAAGTAAAGTAAAGTAAAATAAAATAAAGTATAAAGTAAAGTATAAAGTAAAGTATAAAGTAAAGTAAAATTAAGTAAAGTTAAGTGAAATAAAGTAAAATAAGGCAAAGTAAAGTAAAGTCAAGTCACGTCAAATGGCGAAGCTTATTTCTTTTCGCGATTTTTAATGCTCTCGCGTGAAAATAATAAATCACCACCATATTCCATAGAACGCCATAAGTTCCTCGAATAACATCTACGTAAGATAGGATCGTGAAATATTCGATGAAATTTTTGATTTCATTCGGATCTATCGCGTTTCGTTCGTTCGTCTAATTTAATAACCAAATAAAATCGGTCATTTTTAACATCATTTAACTTGTATAGACGAATTGTTAATATACGTAATACGTTTTATCGCGTATTAGAAAGTATATTTTCAAGAGGAACGAATTGTTGTAGAATCGTTTACGATAAAATGTACGTCGATGAACTTGTTAATGATAAAACGAAAATAATGACGACAATGACTAACTAAGGACGATGACGACAACGACTATGATAACGACGAAGACAATGGACAACAAAGTAAAAATAAACAAAATAATGAATAAAGGATTAACAAATAATAATAAAAAAATAAAATAAAAATACGAGCAATGCAAATGTTCAAATCGTGAAAGGAAACTCCGATGACACAAAACGCAGGTCGGATCTAAAGATCGAGATCTTACTGTATCCGAATGCCCCAACGCATGCATAGTAGTCGGCTAGTGTACGTAATAAATAAAGTTTCTGAACAAAAAAAAATGGATTCAATAATTTATCAAATTTTTTTTATGCAACCTTAAATACATCTCTTCCTTAAACTTCCTTATTGTGTTTTTTCTCTTATATTCTTTTTCATTGGAAACAAATAAATATTCTATATAATTAAAAATTAAATATTGATATAATATTTCATTTTATAATGAAATCATTTTGAAAATCGTTATTGAATTAAAATTTTTATCGAAACATCCAATTAAACTTAAGAGCATCGATTTAATGGAAGAATTAAAAGGACCTTCGCCTTTGGGCCCTACCCCACCCTAAGGGTCCTGCCCAAATGTTTCTTGTGTACGAAGTATAAAGAAATAAATGATTAAATAAAAATTAAATAGTAATGAGAAGTATTGATCCTTAAAATACAAGTAAAATTTAGTTACATAAAAAATTAAATGAAATATTATTTCAATAAATAATATTTAAATATTAAAGATATTTCTCAAAAATATTCCTAGCTTGATTTTATTATGATAGAAGCGAATATACTAAAGTTTTGTTAAAAAGCAGAGTTAACTTGTCATCAATTAGTTATTTCGTTCTTAAGGAATTCTTATCACGAGTTTGATTATGAGAATAATTATATGAACGACTCTCCCCGCCAGATAATTTTATATTGCATCGTTTTATTCTAGATGGCTCCACTTGCTGAAATGGACAATGGTCCTTTATTGTTCTATGCTTTTTTTTATATAGTAACGACATCTGGAAAAATAATGTTACCGATCGGAATTTAAAAATTGTAAATCAGATCTGCATTATCAACGTAGGTATAACAAGTTCAAAAGTCGGTAAGTTAGATAACGATAAGTTAAATGACGGTAAATTAAATGTCGGTAAGTTAAATTACAGTACATTAAACATCGTTAAAGTAATCCCCTGTAGTTTTCTGAAATTATATAATTATAATAAAGATAAGAACCTTTTTCATCCTCGATAAGACGTACTTTAAATTTTTTTACTCACTTGTTTAGTAATTGTTATATCACATATATGTGGCATTTTAAAATTAAAACGACGCATATATGAAACATAAACAGTAGAATTAGAAATTCTGCGATGACTTCAAAACATCTCTACTAATTTTAATACTTCTATTTTTATATCCTATAAGAAACAAAAATGATTAGAATAATTACAGTCACTCGTATCGATTAACTGTACGAAAATGTGTGTACCTTCAGAAATGCATTTATATATATATTTTCTAAAATAGTCAGTTCAAAAAAAAAAATCTCAAAGATTTGTTGTTAAATTCAATGACGATTACCTGTAACAAAAAGAAAACTATATTAATCATAGAATAAAGTGATAAAATGGCCTAACATATAAATCGTCCAATTAGTAGATGCACTTTTCAATTATATTCTCTATTTATTTTTATTAAATATCTATTTACCGTTGCAATGAAATTAAATTTAAACGCGTGATTTTTCATTTACAAAAAATAAAAAATAAAAAAAAAATAAAAAAGCAAAAGTACAAATATTAAGTTACTATAGAAAAAAATATTCATTAATTATTATGACTAATATTTTTAAACTGCATTATACAGAAAAAAAAATTAGAAATTTAATAAACTACAATCACAGTTAAAAATCTTAAAGACAAAAAAAAGAAAAGAGAGATTACTTTAATATTCAAAAAACGATAATTTGGCTTCAAAATGTAATAATAAGGAAATTTAAATTTTTTGACTCGAACCAACACATGTGCATCTTTTTGACGATATAGACACAAATTTGGTGTCCCAAGAAGATGGAATGGTCCATCATCTCCAATTACAACTAAAAATTAATGACGAGCAAAAAAAAATACAATAAAATATAAAATATGACTAAAGAGCCATTCTCTAAAGGTTCGAACTTGCTGTTGAACCTTTGAAAATAACTCAATAGCCTGTAGTTGCCCTCTTGAGCCACAATTAAGTGGGGGCCTCTTCGGCATTAAGCCTCTTCTTTCTTCATTCCTTGAAAACTGCATTTGGACATTTCCTATGTATGAGCAAGATAAGATCTTTCATACTAATTTTGCAAATGAACTCATATTTTGTTGTGATTCTAATTCTCAATTATTTATCAAATAATTTACATTTCGCGTTCACTTTTCTAGCTCGTGAACCGTCAATGAACTTAGAGTTCATAGACCATACACGAGAACATTTAATCAAATGTCCAAGCAGATAATAATTTCCCTCGATGACCTAATAACACTTCGCACTTTTAACGTCGAGAAATAAAATCGAATTGAAATAAATAGTGCAATAAATGTAATGCATTTTCTTGCAATACCTTTATTTCATTAATTCGTTAATTACATCAAATATTTCTAGCTGTAAAACGAAATCGCGATAGTGCGTAGTGTTAATCCTGAAATACTTAAAACTAAGTATCAAATGCCTCAAAGAATTTGCGAATTTGATTTGACTCTATCTCGTTCGAGATAAAATCGAAGTAGAAATAAATCTTTAAAATGGTTGCAAACACCTTTGAATTATGATTTATAATAAAAACCACAGAATAGTCACAAAATAAATGAACAAATCAAGCATAATAGA